TATAATAGGTTTTGGCCTTTGAGGAACTTGCAGTGGCCCAGTGGTGAAGACAGACATGTCTTCCCTAAGCAGAGCATATAAATTGACCTATGGCCTGGAAGAACATGGCTCAAGGCTTTGCTGGCTGGTGGTGTGTCATCTCCCAGAATGCAAATGCCACGCCCCCCAGAGTTTTACAGGGTATCCTGTTGGGTCTTTTAAGTATGTTCAATGAATTAAACAAATACGCATTGAGCTCTACAATTTTTCAGGTGCTGTGCCAGCACTACCGTCAGGGCAGCAACAAGACAGGCACATCTGTGTCCTCATGGAGGTCACGGTCGAGAGGAGGAGTCAGAGGTCCCTGTCTCTCATTGTATTTCCTGAGAGTCACCAGCAAATCCTATCCTGGGACATTTGTTCAGTGTAATCATCATTCAATGTTTACCTTGCTTCTTGGTCACCTTAAAAATTAATGCCTAGAAAAAGTCTCCTAAGAAAAAACAGAGACCTGACACCAGAGACAGCTTCTCTTGCCCTATTTTTAGAATTACCACATGGGGAAAGTGGTACCTTCTCTGCCTGGTAGCTCAGAACCATCCAGAAGTTTGCAAAAATTAATCTCTGTAAATGACACAACTTTCTGGAGAAAAGTCCCAGCTTTCAAGCTTGCCCACTCTTCTTTACTTCTTCCTCCCTCCCTCCTTTCTGATCCCTCCTTTCCTTCCCTGGTCTTGTGAGGCAGTCACTCTGGTGACCATGAGTGACATGTGAGAAACAGCTGGATGTGGTCCTGGGGACATGCTGCTGGGTTGGGCGCCCCATCCCTCTTTGCTGCCCCATGGCTCCTCCTTCTCCTGGCTGGCATGGCTGAGCTGCAGCCGCACTGTGCACTAAAAGCAGCCTCAGCCCCTCCTCAGGGGTCCCAGGACTCCAGAGAGGAGGTTCAGCTTTTATGGAAGGGGAGGTTTCCATGGCGAACAGTCTTTCTGGGAGGCAAGTCCTTTTGGAAGGAAGGTGTGTACTCTAGCTTGAGGGAGAAACAGCCAAGCAGTGTGGCCACTCCACACCAGATTCCTCCTGACACATGCAGACACGCACAAACACACATTCACACATTCTCTCTCCCACACTCACACACTCATTCTCTCTCATGTACACTCACACACATTCACTCACACACACAGATTCTTACACACTCATACATTCACATGTTCTTTCACAGAAACACATTCACATTCTGTCACACTCACATCACACACATTGACACATTATCTCACACTCACACACATTCATACACATTCTGTCTTCCACACACACACCCATTCTCATGCACACTCACACAACACATATTCACACATTCTCACACACATTCACACATTTTCCCACAACACATTCACACATTATCTTTCACATTCACACAAATACACATTCTATCACACACACACATTCACACATTCTCTCACTCATACACTCACACAAACACACATCTACACATTCTCCCTATCACAGACACACTCAGAGACATTCTCTTGCACACATTTGCACACATACACACATGCACATATCCTGTTTCTCTCACACCCTCAGAGAGCTGCATATTCTCTCACGCTGACACACATCCACACATTCTTTCTCTCTCCCACACTCTCCTGTGCACTCCCACACACTCCCACACCCCCACATTCACGCATTTACCCACATGCACACATTCTCTCTCACACACACTCACACACTATCACACTCTCACATGCATGCTTCTCCACTGCAGGGAAAATTGCCTAATGAATGTCTCATGGCTGAAACACTGATCCTGATTCATGAAAGGTGGTTGTAATTATTAAACCGAGAGAATCATGAAACACTTCTTGATATTTGAAAGGCTTATCAAGAATAGATCAGGAACAGGTAAAATTAACAGTTGTGAACTCATTTTCATAGAAATGGACTATTAGCAAGCATACCCATTGCCTAAAAGTATAAGACCTCTTTCCTCTGGATTGAGAGAAATGACCTTTAAAAAAAACCTTGACATAAAATTCACTCTGCCTTAATTACTATTCCATTCATTGCTGCACTTGGGCAGGTTGGTGCAGCTCACAGGCTGGGAAGTTGGAGAGAAGCAGATTTGTCCACAGTCAGAGGGGCTGATCCTGTCATACAGACCCTATCCTCTTTGCCCAAAGACTGGCCACTTCTCTTTCTTTACCCCAGGACCAGAACGTTGATTTTTCAGGATGAAATGGCTGGTGACAGAGCTCATTTCTCCTCTCACTGGATCTTCACTTCCCTAGCATTAGCTTCTCTGAGGTCTACAGAATGCTGAGAACCCAGCAGGTATTGGAAGCAGCTCCCTAGTTCTGGCTACAAAGCACAGTGCTGCCCAAAGAGAAATTGAAAATTTGATCTGACAAGACCCAGCATCTCTTGTAGGAGGTGACTTAACAGATGGATTTGCGGAGAATTTCTGTGACCAGTGAAGAGAAATTAGGCTAGAATGTGGTGGATGGGAAATGGCAGCAGGGCAGGAGGGATGACTCTAGCAGAAAACTGAGCTAAAAACTCAGCCCTTCATCTCTACTTTCTTTGCCTTTCACTAAAGATACCCAGGTAAATAGGGGTCCCCTAGTGGGGAAGGGGGTCCTGTGTGTACACGCTTTCAGTCCTCTCATGAGTTCAGAAACTCCTGTTCAACACACATTTTCTTACAAAACAATCTGTACCAATAGATATTTGAAGATTTATAGACCTGAATGAAGTATGTGCATGAAGCTTAGGCTCAGCTGGGACCACCTGGCTACGTTTGCCCATGAGGGCCCCTAAACTTTTCCACAGCTGTGTGTCCCCTATCACTCATCAAGTATGAATTCATAGTACTGGATGGTACGTGAAGTGAGTACACACCCATTCCCTCATTCCATCCTCATAATTCTACTGAAAGTAGAAAAACCTATATTATCATTATTCATTCATTTTCCAGGTGAGGAAGCTGATGGCAGAAGGTGCATAAATGGCTTTCGCAGGCTGCAGTGCAGGGCAGCAGTTCTCCATCTGCCCTGTGCAGCAGGTCACCACAGGCCACATGTGACTGGCGAGCACTTGAAATTAGGATACTGTGACTGAAGAACTGAATTTGAATTTGATTTATTTTCAAATTATTTTATGTGAATAGCCATTTGTGGCTGGTAGCCACCATACTGGGCACTATGGTATCTGAGAGTTCCTTAAACCTTGGCTACGTGAGAAAAAGATTGCCTGTGACCAGATCTATATGGAGTCTAATGTGGTTTCACTTTGGGTAGAATTTCTCATCAGTAAGGTCAGTGTGATTTAGTTTTGTCAGTGCCATGGCTATATTCCAGCGTTCCTCTGGTACCTCTTGGCATATACAAGAAAGCAGAATGGTGGTTTCTCCACCACCGTTCTATGGGGGTCCCAGTGCAAGGGAGCTGTCCATGGTAGGAGAGTCCATTAGACAAGCAGCAGGCAGCACGTTCCCTCCCTCCCTCCCTCCCTTCCTCCTTCCCTCCCTCCCTTCTTTCCTTTTCCTTTTCCTCTTCCTCTTCCCTTTCCCTTTCCTTTCCTTTTTTTTTTTGAGATGGAGTCTCACTCTGTCACCCAGGCTCTAGTGCCATGGCATGATCTTGGCTCACTGCAACCTCTGCCTACCAGGTTCAAGTGATTCTCCTGCCTCAGCCTCCCGAGTAGCTGGGACTACAGGTGCGCCACTACGCCCAGCTAATTTTTGTATTTTTAATAGAGACGGGGTTTTACCATGTTGGCCAGGATGGTCTTGACCTATTGACCTCATGATCCATCTGCCTCGGACTCTCAAAGTGCTGGGATTACAGGCATGAGCCGCTGCACCCAGCCCAGCAGGTTCTTTTTCAAAACTCTTTCCTCACAGGTTGTGAGTTTGGAAGCCCAGACTGCAGACCTTGCCTAGGCCCCCAGATGCAGGAAAGAGACTTCTCAGCACATGTTGGTCCAGGCAGGCTCATTGGCAGAGAAGGAGAAGCTGGTGTGTGTGGCTCAGGCCTGGCTGGAGCTTATGGATCAGCTGCTCTGCCGTCACCTTCCTTGGATCTGGGTGAAGCTGGATTCACGGGGATGGAAACAGGCTAACGAATCAGGGGTCATTCACAATCCTGTGCTGCATAGCTTCCTGTTTTAACTCTGTTCAGTGACTTCCCTGTCGATGTGATAGCCTGCAATTTACAAGCCCATGTCAATGACAAGGGGCTTGTCATTGACATAAAAATACTGAGGATCACACTTGTCTTTTTCAGATATAAAGAATTCACCAACTTCTTAGCCCCCCCACCTCCAGACACACATATGATATGGCCATTACATGAATTAAGGCAGGTGGGATTTCTTTACATTACTTCTAATCCCATTTGCTGAAATGAGAAATCCAGCATAGTACCTTCTTATGTTGCTCATAGTTTATGTAGCAAACCGTGTAGTGTGTGAAGGTCTTTCCCACTCTCAGTCTCCTGATACTGCCACCCATCTATGAGGTCTCCACTATTATCCACAAATTCTAAAGCCTGGAGAGTTTTAACCACTGGTCCACAGACCCCAGGTAAATAGAAGTAGGAACAGCCAGGGTTCAGGGTGTGCTTTGTGATTGGAGGAGAGGTGGAGCTACATGAAATGATCTGGGGGCCTTTCCTGAGTGTGGAGCTTGGACTGTGGCATGCCCATGCCTGGGCTGGGGAGGGGAGAGCTGTGCATGGCGTCTTCAGAGGTGAAATGCTGGCCGAGCTACTCATCCAGTGAAAGGCAGCCTGCTTTCTGCAACATGGAGCCCTGGAGATGGATCGTCAGCCCATTCTGAGCTGTGGGTTGCTGTTGGGCAACCGTGAATTAGGCTCTGTCAACGCTGCCATGTGACTTGTTGAACTTGGCAGTCATTCTTTTGGTTGAGAAATAAGAATGTGGCAATTTATTACATTCTTGACATTCTCCTGAGTCCGAAGTTTTAAATGGAACCTTAATATGTGTTTGTTTTCCAGAGTCAATGGATCCTTCTATGAGATCTTGCAAGTAGACTTTGGAATTGATAACAGCAGTGACCTGGCTGGGGCCCAGCAGATTACCTGGCAGGTGGAGTACCCGATTGAGGACTCCATGAGTGAGCTGGTCGTCTCCGAGATCTTCGTCAGCCAGACAACCTTTGTGGGCATCGTCCCTCTTGCCATGGTGAGAAACAGGGGGCTTCAGAAAAAGTGTCACAAAGAAATTTTCTTTGAATACAAACATAGTGCACTGTATAATCTGTTATTTCCCATGTACCTGATACACTGTTTAAACAAGGAAAATATACTTAAATTGCAGTTGATCTAACTGCTTTCCATAATGGCTTCTTGGAAGCTATTTAGGGTCTACCGTGTAAATCCTTTTTCATTTGTGGATATTGTGGAACTGTTTCCTGGGGAGCCCTTATTCTTTATTTTCTCAATCTGCATGCATATCAGAACTGAGTGCTGCACTGAGTGAAAACAGTTTTGTTGAAATGCATCGGGGTTACATGGTGGGAACAGTGGCTCTGTATGCCAAGCAACCAGCCCCTTGTCAGTTGGGTTTGTGCTGAAGGTCCCCAGGTAACTTATGGATTGGAAAACTCTAAAATGCAGATGGACTGAAAGAGCCTTGCTGGGAACTGATCACTTTAAGAGGGTAGAGTCCCAGAGTCCACAAAACTGCCTGTGCTTCTGCTTCACTAGCCTGGAGGTGATTGGACATCTTACCCTGAGCTTGGCTGAAGTTATGTTCACAGTCAAGCTCAGGAACCGCATCTGAGATCAGGGTCACGGGTGAGACTCCAGAGCCTAAATTCCAGAGATTCTGCAGAGACAGGAAGTCCATGGATCAGCCAGCTGCTCAATATGCTTTTTCATGCTGGAAATGTTCAACCATCTTCTGCACTGCTTTAACTTTCCTGTGTGGTACCAGAGTGTGGGATCCATGTCCAGATACTCTATAAAAATCTGTAAGTGCTTTCAATCATCCGTCATGCAAGTTAAATAACAAAGTTGAGACTCCTTTGAACCCTACATCTTACAATTAATTAATTCTGCCATCCCCAAATCTCGAGGGTCTCAACTGTGTTGAGCGCATCTCTCTGCTGGGAACACACTTTCCCTATGTCTCCCACAACCGGCTTTTTTTCCCCCAACTCAACTATTAGGGATCCACCTTCTCTGACCTTGTTGGCCAAAACTGGTCCTCCCTTCCCTGCCAGCTCATTACCCTCTACCTGTCATCACCTGTTTTATCTTCTTCATAGATATTATCACTAGTTGATATTTAGGGTTGATTTTCTGTCTCCAGAAAAGTAGAAGGTAGGATTCATGACAGTAGGGTTATCCTGGACAGTTCTGTCCACATCTTTCTCCACTGAACCTGGCACAATGCCTGGCACAGTTAATGTTTGTTAAACGAATGAATGGATCTGTGCTTTAGTCCAAGCTTCCAGGGTCATTGAGTTTTTGAAAATTAGACTGACGGAGATCATCCCTATCATCATTGACCCACATTGTGGTTTGAGGGCAGCCACATCTAGACAGGGAAGTCCTTGTTAGGGAACTGAGATGGATGGGTATGTGTTTTAAGATGGAATGAAGCTGCATCCCTTGTGCCTGGGAACTCATCTGTAAATTCTCCTGCTCAGCTACATCAGGCTGAGGTTGGGGAATCTCTACTCTAAGTCCTTACCACTTTTCTCTATGCTTTGTCTGTAGCACTCCATTCACTGTGGGTTCAGAAGATAACACTGCTGCCATCTCCTCTACCTCCACCTTCTCCTTCCTCCTCCTCTTCCTCTTCCTTCACTTTCCCTCCTTCTCCTTCTCCTCTTTCTTCTCCTTCTCCTTCTTCCTCTTTCCCTTCCCCTCCTCCATTTCCTTATTTCAAAGCAAGTCATGGAAAGAACAGTGGCAATTAACGCTGGACCACCCCTGCATGAAGTAAGGATACTAGGGTACATAGCTACAGAATGTACAAAAAATGGGCTCACAGTTGTCAGAGTCTGACCAGAAGCAGAAATCCCTCTGTAGTTAGAACGGAACAGCTTAAGGACTTAAATACACAGGGAATGAAACAGATGAGAAGCCAGACAGAACAGGAGAGCTGGGCACCCTAGTAAGAGTGGGAATCTGCTTCTACCCCCAGGCCAGAGGGTGAGGGTGGAGGGGGTATTCCCAGAGCCCAGGACTTGGGGGTCACTGCTGTAGCCAGAATCACATTCGAGCAGCCTGGTTAGGGCTGGAGCATGGGAGAGATTCAACTGTTGCGAAGGGTGCTACCTGAGGCAGGGCTGGGAATGGGGTGAGGAATTACCTGGCTTCTGCCTCCCTCCTCCTGCCAGATTCTGCAAAGTCCTTCACTTAATCTCACCCTGCTAGCTGAGACATAAGCTTAGAAAACAGCGTCTTCAGAGGTCAACACTGCTATGACCCAGAACTGATCAGAGGAGGGCCAAGGACAGGATTCGAGGGTGACAGGCTCAAGCCGATGCCATTATCTTGCTGGTTTTATTGCATGATGTGACTCCGGTGAACCAAATCCCACCTGTCCCTCAGAAGCTTGCACATTGAGAACATGGGCACACTACGTCTCATTCCTCTCAGGTCGCCTCTTGGCTCCCTCGGCCCAGAATGCTCCACTAAGGCTGATTTCATATCACTTTTCACTTAAAGGTCAAGTGTGAAGAGGCCTCTCCTGGTTACCCTGGCTGAATTAGTCTCCTCCTTTCTATTTTCACTCATTTGTCCTTGTCTCATGCAGATCCCATCACTGTCTGTGATCCACACTTACTTTATGAGTGTTTGTGTCCTGTCTGTCTCAGTCTAGGTCCAGTCATGAGAAAGAATATGAACATGGAAAGAAGTGTTAACTATGACAGAGGATTGGGATAATGAGGGATTGGTTAATTAGAAGTGAAGAGAACTCTAAAGAATATAGGAATGGCAGACAAAGGGAGCAGCTACTAGGCTGAGGGCTGAACTATAATGCTCAAAGAAGAGGTTTCCCCTGCCGGTCTCCCAGAAGCAACATTTCTGCACAGCTCACTGAATGGCAGATAAGTTGCTGATGTAGCACTCAGGTAGAGCTTGATGGAAATCTGCCCTCTGCAGTGCTAGGGACAGCTGTTCACAGGGTGATGCACTTGCTACCAAACTACTAAAGGTGGACGTTGGGGAAAGCTGCCAGCTGTGAGGTGCTGCTGGCCACGATACACTGCAGGAGTGGGGCGCTGAGGAAGCCGCCAATGCTGGAGAAGGCTCATACATGGCAGGAGCTGCAGAGCGAGGTGCTCAGAATCAGAAAGCCAACCCTTTCCTCCCAAACTGTCTCTTCAGCATGCTCTACCGACAAAGCCTAACATCATGCTCATTGGAAAAGCAAAAATATCGATGTAGGGCTCAGATCTATTTTCACAGAGCAGGTAATGAGGGGTAAACTTGGAGCTGAGAGGCCAAGAATTGATAACTGGCATGTCTTCCCCACTGGATTTCAAGCTCCATGATGGGAGAGGCCATGTTTGTTTTGCTCACTGGCTGTTTTTCCAGCCTGGTGCCGAGTATATAGTATTTGTTCAGCAAATGAATGAATCGTTATGTCTACCATCGGAGCTTGAGTCCATTGGCTAGAGAGCTCTTGCTTGCTGTTGTATTAATTTTCCTGTGCTGCTCTAAAAAATTACCATAACCTCAATGACTTAAAAAAACCTACAAATTTATTAATTTAGAGTTCTGGAGGTCAGAGGGTCCTAAATAGGTTTCCTGGGCTGAAGCGAAGTTTTCAGCAGGGTTGGTTTCTTCTGGAAGCTCTAGGGGAGAATTTATTCTGTACCTTTTCCAGCTTCTAGAGGCCACCAGCATACCTTGGCTCATGGGTCCACATGATTCTCATCTCTGCTTCCATCATTGTATCACCTGCTCTGACTCTCCTGCTTTCTCTTCCATCAATACCTGCTCTGTGAAAATAGATCTGAGCCCTATTTCAATATTTTTGCTTTCCCCATGTCCTCACAAGGGGCCCACCCAGATAATTCAGGATAATCTCCCCATCTCAAGATCCCTGACCTCATCACACTTGCAAAGATTCCTTTGGCCATGTCAAGTAACATATCCACAGGCCAATGGCCTCTCCTGCCTCCTGCTTCCTCCCCAGCTTTCTTGCTAAAGGGGCCTCAGTTGCGGTCTTTGCCCTCTGAGTGGCCACATCCTTTGGTCCACTGGGTAAGGCTGGACCCCTCCACAGCCCCAAGGTGGCATCTGGATTGGTCTAAACTATCACGGTTAGTTCATCCCGTTCCCTTGTGATTATCGTACCCAGGAGGAAGTTGGCTAGTTGGACGAGGAGTCTGGAGAATTACAACTTGCTGTTAAAAAGGAATGAAGCACAGGGACATTCCTGCTTTCTGTCCCTGCGCATGACTGTGTAAGGAGCAGGAGGTGTAACTGTGAGAGGAGCTGTACACACTCTGGGGCGGCAGAGCAGAGAGAGGGTAGGAGGCTGTGTCCTTGCCAGTGTCACAGGTTGCCGAGCTGCCTCGTTACCAGCCTCCTTCCTCTGGCCTCCTGCCTTGTGACATGGTAAACCTGCCCACTCTAAACCCCCTTTGGCTAGCACTTGGCTGCAGCTTGAAGGGTTTCAAGTGAAGGCTCTTCTTAGCCTCCCATCACCCTCCTAGGCTGGCTGGGCTCCTTGCACAGGGGTCATCACTATCAGGAAGGGAGGGTAGGGATGCCATCCACTGTGCCATCCCTCATTTCTTTCTGGAGAGGAGACTCATTCCTACAGGCCCCAGCTGGCTGTGGCACCTTCCTCCCCATTGGTTAAAACAGGGTCGCATACACAGATGTTGGGGGAATGAGGGTCTGGCCTTGTGACCTCACCTGTGGCAGCCATGGGGTGGGCAGTTGAAGCATCTGCACCCATGGAATAGCCCACCCAGTGCCCCTATTGTCCTCTGAGAAGGTGCTGCTGTCCTGGGATTCAATCCCAGGCTTATGATTAAGGACTTTGCTGCCACAGGTGTGTGATACTGGATTCTGTTGGTTGCTGATGATATTTTGGGTAGCAAGTCAGCTTCTACTTCATGAAGTAAATATGTAGCTTTTGGGAGAATGCCTGATAGAAGTAGGAGAGACCCAGGAATAGACAGCAGGTGGAGCTGATGTAGTAGCCAAGCA